AAGAAGGAATTAGCAGAAACAGGGTAGTTATTTACCAATTTCCCTTTTCTTCCTGGGCAGAAAGAATTCCTTTTCCATCCTATTAATTACAATAAGGCCAACGGATTATAAGGTTTGGCCCATAAAATAAAATAAATAAAAATCCACTCTAATATTCCACTCTCTTTGTCACCAGATTGCTGAAGCGAGAGGACTCTGTGTATCTAGGAGGTGAAACCACAGATGGCAGCAGCCTGTGCCATTGACTGATCACTTGGACATAGCTTCCTGCCATTGATAACCCAGGCTGTCCTCCCATGTGAGGGGGAACTAAGTTTTGGTTGTTGTCAGACCACTGATATCTTGGAGTTATTTATGGCAGCAGTCAACAAACTCTAACTCCAGGGGCATATCAAAATGCATATGAAGATAATATTTATCTATATATTTCTGACCATCACAACTGTTCAATGGTTGAAGCAAGGTTCTATGTAAAGTGTAGAGCACTTACAGCCGGTATATGAAGGGCAATAGTGGAAATAATAAAAACTATACTGAGCCTTGGCCGGTTTGGCTCAGTTGGAGTGTCGGCCTGTGGTCCAGATAGACTTGGGTTCGGTTCCCGCTAAGGGCACGTACCTCGGTTGCAGATTGTCCCCGGCCCTGGTTGGGTCATGCGGGTGGCAGCCACTCAATGTGTCCCTTTCACGTCGATGTTTCTCTCTCTCTCTCCCCCTCCTACTCTATCTGAACAAAAAATGGAAAAATGTCCTCGGGTGAGGATAAAAAACAAAAACTATACCGAAAGTCGTGTCAAAGTTTGTAACAAGGTGGTAGTGGGTTCCTAGAGATCATTTCAGGTACAAATGACGTGTCATCTGAAGGTTTCTGACACGGGTGATAGCAAAAAGTCCTCATCCTTATAGTGCTCCAACTCCACTACTTATTATATATTCAGATATAGCTTCAGATAGATGATTAATTCTGTTTCACTGTTTTTTTGATTTGCTGACTGGGGCAGAGGAATACTAGTTGCTGAGTAGAAGGTGGCCTTGATGAGTGACGGACAAAGCTTGAAATCTCTGTAAGGTCTACTGACCTGACTGTGCCCTTGAGTGCCGAGCCTTTGTCTCGCTGCGGCACAGGCAACAATTTCAGAGAAATACGCTCTTCTCTCTTCGTACCTTCCTTCTCATGTTTCTCAATGGAAGGGGTTCCAAGGCTAATGAAATAGGGCCCTTTGAGAAAGAAACTCGAAATCTACCCTGTTTAATTAGTTCCATTCTACCTCAAAGTAGTAAGTATATTCTACTACATATTACTTTATTAGGTCCTGAACTTTGCATTTCAAATGTAGTACTTTAATATATCTAGTAATTGCCTGTAGAATGTAAGGCAGCAGGAGAACAAAATTTTCTCTTTCTAGGAAGCTAGTGTTTAAACATTGTCAATTAAGCTATCTGTCGTTTCTCGAATGAGTTTTTAGCCACTCATATACTGTTTCAATGTGTCTCTCTACTTCTCCACCAAGTCTTTCATTTATTTTTTCATAACAACATTTCTATTATAATTATCCAATCCATTAGTACCATGTCTATTTTAGTAAAACAATTCCCCTCTTCCTTTATTAAAATCAACTTACCTATTTTGTCATATATTTTTGGAATAGGTTTTGTTTCCAGTTTGTCATAAAATTAATCTCTAATTTTGACTGATTATACATTAAATGTATACATTAATTTGCATGTCCTATTAAGTGTTCTATCTAAAAGTAGAAAATGTCTCCACTCTGATAGTTTCTGTCTTTGTAGAAAGTTTTAACATTTTCTATATGAAGGTCTTGTATATTCGTTATTGATTCCTATATACTTTAAATGTTTGTTGCTTTTTAAATAAATTCATTGATTATTGCTGATATAATAGTACTAAGTATCTGAGTTGATTTTATATTTTTCAGCTTTGCTAAACTCCTATATTTAGTCCTTATTTTTAGTTGAGATGTTACTTTTTATGTTTATGGGTTTTTTTGTGAGTTTTTCACTATTGTTTATTTGCAATTCTCTGTGCAACATTTTCATAAAATTAATTTTGCAGTACATCTGATTAACCTTTTCACTAATCCAGTTTTTGGTTTCACTAACATTCTCAATTTTCTTGTTATTCTCTGCTGTGTTTCCTGTTTTATTTTTATTCTAGCTTTTCTTCATTCTTTGGGTTTTTATTGTTTTTCCTTTTCAAAATGTTGAGTTTTGCATTCAGTAGTTATCTTTATTGATGTCAGGATTTCTCATCCTCAGCACTATTGACATTTTGAGCTGTATAATTCATTCTTGTATGTTTGGGGGCTTATTCTATGAACAAGGATTATATAGCAGCTCGTCTATCCTCTATCCATTAATTGCCAGTAAGCAATCCCCTCTCCTTCATTACAATCAAATGTGTATTCAAATACTGCCAAAGGTCTCTTGTGGTGGGGAAAAATTATCCTCTTTTGAGGACCACAATAGAAATTTGGAGATTAACCAAAGGCATACAACAAATTACTCAGTGAAGCTGACTCATTCTGGAGTGGAAGCAAGGAAAATACCATGGCCCAGAGAGTGATCTTAAACAGTGATGATCTCTGTAGCAAATAAACAAGGAAGACCAGTGTCGGAGCTCACCTGTGTTTGAAACACTGATTAGGGCAAGTAACTAACTAGCCAACTAACCAGCAATTCAGCCAGGGACCTTACAGTGAGGTAGCCCCATAATGGGCCCTAATAGGTTTCCACATATGTCAGGAATTACCAAAGAAGACCCTAGATATTGACATATCTTTGGGTAAAGGAGAGAACTTATACATTAATAAAAGAGACAAAAGAAGGGCCAGCGGATATCAAAAACTGAATCAGATTAATAACTGCCTGAAGATTGTATGTGCTTTCCAATGAACACAGATCCAGTGGCAAATGGGTAAAGACTTACTGGCTCTAGGATTTTTTAACACAAACTCTGGTCAAACATGCTGATACATGAGTGATCCCTAGGAAGCTTGAATTAAAATAAAAACAAAAATTAAACAATGATAACAACAAAAAACGAGGCATCCATACCCATACACCATAAGGAAGAAAGGCTTCTACATAATTAGTATGGGCAAGTCACTATACAAGCACAGGAACGTCCATAACCTCTATGGGAGTATGCCAATCGAGAATTATACATTATCTCATACAAAATAAAATCTCTAATTTCCAAACAAAAATTGTCAGACACACACAGGAATAACAAGGTGTGAAATGTACTTTGGAAAAAGCAAACAATGTTACTGATGGGGCCCAAATGTTATCAAATTCCCAGATGGTCTCCAGATATTGGATTTACCAGACAAAGACTTCAAAAACAGCTATTTAAGAACTATGTGCAAAGAATAAAGTAAATCAGGTTTAAAGAATAAAGGAAAGCATAACCACAATGACTCTTCAAATAGAAAATATTTCCTGAAGCTATAGAAATTATAAAAAGAGAATCAAATGAAAATTCTGGAGTTAAAATGTACAGTAACCAAAACAAAAAATTCACTAAAAGGAATCAAGAGTGGTATTATTCATAATATCCAAAGACTTGAAACACTTTAAATGTTCATCAACTGGTAAATGGATAAACCATATGTGATATACCCACATAGTGGGATACTACTCAGCAGTGAAAAGGAATACAGTATCCATGCAGTTCATGTCTGAAAACCTCAAAAACGTGATGTGAAAGATGCCAAATGCAAAAGACTATATGTTGTATAATTTCTTCTACATAAAATATTTACATAAGGCAAACTTAGGGGCAGAAAGAATAGTTATTGCTTGGAGCTGAGGGAATAAACCAGAATTGACTTCAAATTAGTATCATGATTCTTGTAATAATAAAAGTGCTCTAAAATTGGATAGATTTCTTAAAATAATTAAAAGGTTTATTTAAAATGAGTGAATTAGGTCGTATGTAAATTATATGTCAATAAAGCTGTTAAAATATTTTTCATATTAACATCAACTATAAATTGGAAGATTTTATGGATCAAGATGCCTTACATTTCTCTAAGAAATATTAAGAATCATTATAGTATTAGCAGTGATTGTATAATTAGCCTTTATTAATCATCATTTGAGGCTTTTAAAATGTATAATCACGTTATTTATAACTATGAGAGAGAAAATAACCATCATGATGCAGATAAATGAATGGATACTCAGAATAAAAATATTTACTACAGAACTCTTACCCAAATAGCTTTACTTCTAAGTTCATATGCTCAACCAATGATTTCTGTAGTCCACTAGTGGGGTGTGTGTGTGTGTGTGTGTGTGAATGTGTGTGTGTGTGTGCGCTCACATGAGTGCCTATGACATAAGATAGTATTGAGTAACATATTAAATGGAATGAAATGCTATACACAGTATACATTTTAGGCTTCATAATTTTATATATATGTATATGTATATATATCACTGTTATATTCCTTAAGGATTAACATTTTAATAAATCTTTCAATTGCCAAATGACATTTTACTTTCAGTCTAAGCTTTTCAAGAAATTATATAAAAAGTTAACCTTTTGACTTATTAAACACTTGACAATAGTAGTAAATTTTTTAGACTTCAGACCTAAACAAAAATTTAAACATAATGTCTATCGTAGGTTATGATGACATTATATAATACAGATCTGAAAACAAGGTGAAAGTTGATGCATTGCCTTCACATTTTCACTAAACATACCCTGAAACTTATAACTAAACCCTTATCATAAAACACTCTAACCTACATTTAGTAACATAAATGGTCAAACCAATTGTAAAATCTTAATTTCTTTGTTTAACACATGAAACATTTACTGTTGCAGTTACCTTAGCTTTAAATAAGCTCTATTTTGCTGACACTACGATAAAATAAATTATTTATAATCAGTAAATCTTCATAGTATAAGATTTACAGAAAGTGATTATTCAGGACTGGAAAAAAAGAACATTTAGTGGAGAACCTTACCACGCCAATGGAAAAGTAATTATTGATGATGCTGTAAGGCACTGGGTCTCCCTTCTCATCCTTGTCGTTAGGTATGACTTCAAACATCCACCTGTCCAACATGATTTCTGTGCTGTTTTCAATGTCTTTTAGGATTTTCATCAGATTTTCACCTTCATAACCTAATGAAAAAAAAATTATATTGAGGAAAAATATTCAAAAGCTGTATTTATATGTATGAGTTTGTGCTTGAGAGTATATCATTCTTAAACTAAGCAATAAATTTTCAAAGCAAATCCAAATATAAGAAGAATCAATTATAATATTATTTTACTCATACCAATATTTTGTTTTTAGCTTTAATTTGCAACTCATTTCTCTCCTGTGGCACAAATTTTCAGTGTAGCCAACTATCAAATGAGTATCTCCACTGAATATCCCCACAAAACTGTATATCAACATATTCAAAATAAAATTAATTATCTGCTTCCTTATCTTTTCCTGTGAACTCTTTCTCAGAAAATCAATACCCTCTACCCAGTTGCTGAGGCAAGAATCCTGGGTGCCATTTTAGGCTTGTCTTTTTCTGTCACCCCGTCCTTACGCCTTCCCTTCTAGTTATACACAACTACTTTCCTTCTCTGCTTAACTGCCATATCATCTCTTATTCTACATATCCAGAGTGTCCCCTTTCTTTTGGCTGGCTTGCATCTATTCTGCCTGCAAGTTTCATATTTAATAACACTTATTTCCAGAAGCTACCCCCTTAAAGAACGAATTCCATGCAGATCCACAGCAACAGTTCTCAAAACTAGCCCTACCTAAGAACTAATATACCGCCTTGAGTTATTTGCATCTTTCTCATACTAGTTATTTTTACCAGGTCTGCCCTAGAGTAAATGCTCAGCAAATCCATTTTTAATTCAAGTATTACAGATAGTCAATATGCCCTGAAAAGATTTTTTTAAATATCATATTTTCTCTTTAATGTATCTATAGGTACATAACATTAGAGTTAAAACTGTAGCCTAGACGTGGATGTGTTCCTTTCATAATCATTTGCCCTTAACCTCCCTCAATCGTTTTCTCCTCTTTAAAATGTAGGTTTGATGTGAGAATTAAATGAGAAAAAAAAATAAGGAAGTGCTTAAAACGTCTTAGTACATGAGGCATAAGAATAGAAAGTTCTCAACAATACAGTAATACTGATGGTAACATCAGAATTTTCACTATTTTACTAAGTTAAATAATGTATTTTCTTCAATATACACATACACATAGACATTCTTGAAATGACACTTTGAATTGGAATAATATTTTCATAGATTTTGTTCTGTGTCAAACTCTGGTTTTCATTTTAATAATTTCTGTTGAACAAGTAAATGCCAGAGCCTATGAGTCCCTATTCCTTGTGTTTACACCATAACACTGGGAAAACTAATTGTGTTAAAAGAATAAAGAACAGGTACTATAATAAGCCAAAATTCTCTAATAATAAATAAATCAGATTTATGGTGTATTTGGTCAATTAACTATTACAGGGTCAAGGTAGCCAGATTCTAAGGATACCTATTTTGGAGCCCAGCTTACTTACACATAGGTTTAAAAAATAATTATGCACTACTTAACACATGCAGCGAAGAGTACAACAAACAATTACACAGGTATAGATATTAAAAGTATCACTTTTATTTTAATAGATGACATATCATATTAAATAGCATAATTCAAAAACTATGAACATAATAAGTATATAATTGTATTCAATGGCAAACCATTGAACTGTTTAAATTATAAGACTGATAACTACACTTACTTATACTTCAGATGCTTCTTAATAGTTCAACCTTAATTTTCAATGCTTAATTTATTAATTTTTGTTTCTTAGTATAAGTAATAGCCTCCCAAATAAATTATGTCTATATATTTCCCTACTGAATTGAATAACCAAAGAAATATATTCACCTATTTCCAAACTCTACCTTAAATATATATATATTATTTTTTAAGTATACATATATATGTATGATAGTTTTCAGATATAAATAAATTTACATACATTAATATAAGGCAGTGCAGTATAATACACTATGAAAGTCCAGTACAATATACATACATGTAAATATATATTCACACGCACTCAGCAGAAATATGAGTAAATAATAACGCTCTAAATGAAATATTAAGCATGTCCTCAGCCACATCTCAGGTTTATTACAAGGTTCAACATAACACTGTTGAAAATGTGTGTGAGAGAGAAACACTGATTGGTTGCCTCCCATTTGTGTCCCACCAGGTCCTAACCCGCATCCTAGGTGTGTGCCTTGAAGGGTAATCGAACCCACAACTGTTTTGGTATACAGGACGATGCTCCACCCAACTGGGCCACCCGGCCAGGGCAGGGTAAGCAATTGAATAGAGAGGTATAACAAGCTACAAGGCAGGTACTGTTATTTTTGTTTGTTAGTTTTTTAGATTCTGATGAGAAATCTGAAGCACACGGGTGTTAAGCAACATGCTCAGTTACACCCCTGGCAAGAAATAATCTCTGTCCTGTGCATGTGTTTCTATTAGTAAACGCTAGCAAATGGCATCTCTGTTTTCCTCATTGCTCAACGTGGCCTCTTTCAGCCCTTTTCACTCCCTCACTTTCCCAGAAGCCTCTATCCAACCCACTAGCCAGTTCTATCTGTCCGCCCCCGAAAATGGGACTCCAGTGTCCACTTGCGGCATTGGCAACACCACCACCCCGTCCAATCCTGTTGTTCCTTAATTATGACAACTCTACATTTCTCTTTTGGCAAACCATAGTTTTCTTAACAGGTTATTTTGCATCCCTAAACTAATCTACTTTTGAAAACCTAAATGTCATTGTGTCACACTGCTTTGTAAGTTTTTCAAAGTTCCGGTTTCTGCTTCAGGATCAATCAAATAAAATTATTGCCCTAACTAGCAAGCCCCTGCATTATCGGGCTCGGGACTATCTCTTCAATCTTATCCTAATGGTCCCGCTCAGTCCATACCTATCAACCACTCTGACAGCTTCGGGGGTCACACTGGCTTTCCTTAGGCCTTTTAATGCAGGAGCTAGCTGCTTCTCCCTCTTTGTATTTTAAATCCAGCTTAAATATTACTTCACCAGAGAGGCCGTCTGGACATCTAACAAAGTTTCCCTTATGTGTTTCTCTAAAAATACATTCTGTTTAGTTCTTTCATAAGATTGACCTTATGAAAACGTAATCTCCCAAAGGGTAGGAGCCATTTATTTATTTTCTCATTCTCTGTCTAGCACCTAGAACACTGCCAACACGTGCTGGGAACTCACAGAGGGTTCGTCATTAATATGTACTTTGACATATACTACAATTCATGTGTCTTTGGCCACTGACACTAATATCTTTAAAAGTGCTTTACAAGAAAATCATTGTTATGATAAAACAATGGAACGTATATATCAATTTTGAGACTTAAATCATTTATTTGTTTGGAACCAAAAATAAAATTATTAATTTTCAAATATCAAAAATATATTCCAGAAAAATATGACTAGAAGCCACATACATGGTTCCCTTCCTTTTTAAATTATTTTTATTGATTGATTGAGAGAGAAAGAGAGAAAGAAACATCAGTTTGTTGTTCTACTTATGTATGCATTCATTGGTTGCTTCCTATATGTGCCTTGACCAGGGATCACATCTGCAATCTTGGCATATCAGGACAATGTTCTAACCAAACGTACTTCTCACCCAGGGCCAATTCCCTTCCTTTTAATCAATATACACAGATAAGCACTGGCAAATACAAGCATCTCATTAAGCAGTGATTCTATCTAGCTAGCTAACTATCTTTAGGTTCTATGAGATTTACCTTAATATTTTATAATGTTTTATTAAATTATATCCATAATGAAGATCACAAAGAGATTATAGGCTAAAATTTTAACTTAGTCGCCAACTCTGTCTTGTATACATATACATATTTATAGCTTAGACTTCACCAGTTGGCCAGACACTCATGAACAATTCTCTAATTTTGTTGTAAAATCAGAGTTACTTAGAGAGTTTGTTTAAAAAGAAAATCATCTGCCTGGGTCCTACCTCCAGAGATTTCTATTCAGCATATTTGGGGTCACTATATTTTTAACAAGATCTCCGGGGCCTTCTGATTCATGTTCTCTTAGTAGACACTTTTCAAACATGTCTGAGTTTAGATGCTAAAAATATTCAGTATTCAATTCTTGGTGATATAGCAAAGTTTTCTTTATTTGGTATCTTCAGTTAACTATAGCCTATTAATGACACTTTGAAATATTTTAAGATCTCACCTTGAAATATTCTCCCTTTATTCACACTGTTCCACACATACAATTTCACTTAAAGGTCCCTGAATATGTCAAGTGGTGTCCTACCTCTAGTCCTTTGAACTTGATATTCCCTTTGGCTGTAAAGTCCACTCCCGGTTCTACATGGTTCTATCATTGTCCCTCCACTACATTTCTCCCTATGCCATCTTGTCATTGCAATGACAAGGCCTTCCATTGTGTTGGTTAATTATATTCTTGACCCTGTATCCCAAGTGCAGAACACACTGACTGGTATGAAGTGGGTTTCAAAACATATGTTCATTCCTGGACTAGTCATTCATTAGCCTTTACATTTTCTTCCTTCGTTTGTTGTTTTAGCACACAACTCAGAAATTAAAAATCTGAATATCACTTTAGAGTGAATTCATGCCTATCTCATTTCTTACATTAGAAACCCTGAAACCAGAGAGGTCTGGAAGTTTGTCTGCCCCCCAAAGTCAATAATTAGTAACACACTAAAGCCCAACACACACAGTCTAACTCATGGTCCACTATTTGTTTCTCTACCCCAGACTCCCATTCAAAACCATATACTACATATTAAACAGCAATTATATTTGGTAAAATCACATGGCAGTTGTCACACACATGCTGGCTTTGTGGAGGGGAGTGTTCCGTACTCTTATTTCTATTTTACAAAGATTCTCATTATTGTCAAAGCTGTTACCTCCTCCCCATCGCAGGCATCTTGCTAGATCATTACCGGTCCCAAGAGGCAGGATGGCAACTGGAGGGTGCTTGATCACATTAGCCTTTTCTGTGGAATGAAAAAAGTAAAACAAAATAAAATTTTGATCACAGATAGAACAACAGTTTAAAAAAAAGATTGGTTGGCATGAAATAAAAGCATCCCATTAGGTGCTTATAAACAGAAAAAGTTCTATTTTATTGATATTTAGAATTATAAATTATGATTAATCCCTATGCATTTGTAACAATTTATAAGATGCAAACAAATAACGTTATTCACAAAGCGACATGCATTTCTAAGTCTCACGCATGAGGAAAGCCTTGTAAATATACTAACCCAGTTAAAAATCATGGTTTAAGTTCAATTTAACTCCAATAAAGTAAGTCATATAGAGAACAACAAATACCATATGATTTCACTTAGATGTGGAGTAGAAAGAACAAAATAAATGAACAAACAAAACAGAAACAGACTCATAGATACAGAGAACAAACTGATGGTTGCCAGATCAGGAGAGGGGTTGGGACCTGGTGAAAAAGGTTAAGGGAGTAAGAAGTACCAATTAGTAGTTACAAATAAATAAACACAGGATGTAAAAAGCAGCATAGGGAATAGTCAATAATATCGTAATAACTTATTGAGGTGATCACTTTGTAAATTATATTATTGTGTAACCACTATGTGTACACCTGAAATTAATGTGAAATAGTATTGAATGTCAACCATTCAAAAAATTTAATAAAAGAGTTAAATTAAAGAAATATTCTCAGGTATGCTGGTATATATAGTGTAGGAATTTACATATAGGGGCATTTCCAGAGTAGGGTAGGTTCCTATGGAAAGTCCTTTTGCAACATCAACTCAAGGTACATTTTACTTTAAGGAATACACTATTTTGAAAACCCCTGAATTCTAAAAGCTAGTAAAGTGCAAACAATGCCCTTGTGTTGTTCCCACCCATGGTGCTGCTTTGTGGCAGAGTAAACAAATTAGGAGCTTCCTAACAATGAGATCAGCAGGTTTTCTTTGAGATTCAACTTGACATAAAATAGGACTTTGGTTCAGAGCAGTAATGATCCCTGCCACCGAAATTTCATGCTATTGTCTGGTTCATCAGGGGCCTTGAATGAATCTCACAAACACGTATTTATGTTTTCTCTCTTCTCAGCAGCTCAAAGTCAGTCCCTGTCTGCGTGTAAGAATAGGAAGGAAGCCCTGGCCAGTTTGGCTCTGTGGTCTGGAGAGACCCGGGTTCGGTTCCTGCTAAGGGCACGTTTGTCCCCGGCCCTGGTTGGGTCGTGTGGGTGGCAGCCACTCCATGTGTCCCTTTCACATCGATGTTATTTTTTCTCTCTCTCTCTCTTTTTTTCTCTCTCTCTCTCTCCCTCCCTCCCTCCCACTCTATCTGAACAAAATATCCAAAAGTGTCCTCGGGTAAGAATAAAAAAAAATAAAAGAATAGGAAGGAAATAGATGATTTAGGGATGTGCCACAATTAATAGCCAAAGCTTAGATTTTGAGGGTTAAAACAAACCAATACCCTCCTACTGTTTTCGCTCTAAAATTCTTAGAGTCCTCAAAAACTGTTCAAGTAACTTTTTAATTTTTACAGTTATTGAATTCTGGTTTTCTCCTTAAGTAGGACATGTTAATACTATTTACATTTTTTAATGGAAGGATAAATAATGCAACTTTTACTGCTTTAAAAAAAAAAATAGTAGATTAAAGTTGTTAGATGCTTACAAAATGTCTGACAACTTGTATTCATTATTAATTTGAATATTTCCACATATATGACAAGATAGAATATCTCACCTGCATTGATTATATGAAAGTTTGCTTCCGTTTATATAGATAGTAAAATTTATTTTGAATCAATTCTTTTCTTTTTGTGAAAGGGCCTGCTTTTTAAAAAGAATTGGGCATGTAGTAACTGAAGTGAGAAATAAGAAGTGAATATAGCCCTGGCCAGTCTGGCTCAGTGGTTGGAGCATCAGCCCACGGACCAGAGAGACCCGGGTTCAGTTCCTGCGAAGGGCATGTACCTCAGTTGCAGTTTGTCCCCAGCCCCAGTGGAGGTTGTGTGGGTGGCAACCACTCTATGTGTCTCTCTCGCGTTTATGTTTCTCTCTCTCTCTTCTTCCCTCTGTCCGTCCTGCTCTATCTGAAGATAAATGCAAAAATGTCCTCGAGTGAGGATAAAAAAAAAAAGAAGTGAATGTTTGCATTAAATTTATCTTTGCATAAAGGCCGATTCATGACCTATTTTACTGAGCAGTAATGAGTTCTGGCAGCTGTCTATAAAAAACAAACAAAAACAAACCAGATACCTTTTCTGAATATATGAAGCTTTTCTTATAATTTATGTCTACCTTTTTATCCTCAATCATGTACTGTTTTGTTTGCTTATAAAAATCAAGCTTTTAGCCCTGGCCGGTTTGGCTCAGCGGTTAGAGCGTCCGCCTGCGGTCCCGAGAGACCCGGGTTCGGTTCCCGCTAAGGGCACGTACTTCGATTGCAGTTTGTCCCCGGCCCTGGTTGGTCATGCGGGTGGCAGCCACTCGATGTGTCCCTTCACGTCGATGTTTCCCTCTCTCTCTCTCTCTCTCTCCCTCCCACTCTGTCTGTACAAAAAAAATGGAAAATTGTCCTCGGATGAGGATAAAAAAAAAAAAAAAAAAATCAAGCTTTTAAAACTCAAATGGGGGAGAACCGAAAAATGGCGGCGGAGTGAACGGAGCTACACAGACCGTCTCCCAGAACCAAACTGGAATTACAACTAGAACACAGACAAATCGACGGGAAAAACCAACAGAAAAGCAGCCTGGAGGACCATACAACGAGGGACACCGACTCCATCCCGGTAGGCTTGCGAAGGCGCGAGACGGGGCTGGGAGCGCACGGTCGGCAGCTCGGCAGCGGCCTCAGCTGGGAGCAGCGCCCTCGGGTCACACTCCCAGGCGGCCCCACAGCGCAGCCGGGACAGAGGCTGAAACAGCCACAGCCACTCACCTTGGGCTCCGGCAGAGGGAGGGCAGACTGGACTGGAGCTGTGTGGGGACACTCGGGGTTTGGAGGGCGCTCAGAGCTTTGGCTGAGTGCAGCCACGCAGGACGGGGGCCACATTGCTCCTTCCCAGGGCTCTGAGAGAGGCAGCAGCCCCTCCCTCGGAGATCCAACCCCACCCTGTGGGCCATTGAAGTGCTAATTGAGGCTCACTAACGACCAGCATCTGCCCCACCCTCCTGAAAGACCCTTGGCTGAGCACCAGAGGGAGTTTTTCAATCAACTGACAACCCAAAACTCATCAAGTAACCTGGACTGCTAGCCTCCAGGCAAAAAGCTAGAGGATAACAGTACCTTTCCTGGGCTGGCAACTTTAACCAGGAAAGTAAGACTTGACAGTGGTGTTCAACGTGGGTCCTCCCTCGCTCATCTAATCACAGGAGAGGGAGCCACAAACAGCAGAACACCAACACCCACAGGGAGAACTTGACAGGCTCCAAAGCCCACAGTGATAGCCAAAATGTTGAAACACAGAAACAGAAGCCAAATGAAAGAGCAAGAGACCTCCACCAAAGATGAGATCAATGTGGAGCAATTAGGCATATTAACAGAGCTAGAATTCAGAGCCATGATCTTGAGGAAGCTGAACAGCATGAGTAAGGACATAGAGACACTGAAAATAAGCCAAATGGAAATTAAAAACCAACAAGAAGAGATAAAAAATGACGTATCCGAAATGAAAAACACATTGGAAGGTTTAAAAAGCAGAGTAGGGGAAGCTGAGGACCAGATCAGTGAATTAGAAGACAGGGTAGAAAAAATCAACCAATCAGAAAAACAAAAGGAAAAAACTATTAAAAAACAGGAAGACAAAAATGAACACATGGGACTACATCAAACTCAAAAGCTTCTGCACAGCGAAAGATACAATCATCAAAACGGACAGGCTACCCACTGTATGGGAGAGCATAATTGCCAATGATAAATCAGATAAGGGGTTAATTTCCAATATATATAGAGTGCTCATACAACTCCACAAAAGGAAGACAAAGAATCCAATTAAAAAATGGGCAGAGGAACTAAATAGACACCTCTCCAAACAGGACATACAAATGGCTAAGAGACATATGAAGAAATGTTCATCATCACTAATCATCAGAGAGATGCAAATCAAAACAACAATGAGGTATCACCTCACACCTGTCAGAATGGCCGCCATCAACAAATCATCAAACAACAAGTGTTGGCGAGGGTGTGGAGAAAAGGGGACTCTAGTACACTGTTGGTGGGAATGCAGACTGGTGCAGCCACTATGGAAAACAATATGGTGTCACCTCAAAAAATTAAAAATTGATCTTCCATTTGACCCAGTGATTCCACTTCAAGGAAAATATGCTAAGAAGCCTGAAACACCAATCAGAAAGAATATATGTACCCCCATCTTTGTAGCAGCACTATTTACAATCGCTAAGATCTGAAAACAGCCCAAGTGCCCATCAGTAGACGAATGGATTAAAAAGCTGTGGTACATATACACAATGGAGTACTACACAGCGGTAAGAAAGAAAGATCTCTTATCCTTTGAGACTACATGGAGGGACCTGGAAAGTATCATCCTAAGTGAAACAAGCCAAGCAGAGAAAGACAAATTTCATATGATTTCACTGATTTCTGGAATATAATGAACATAACAGTTTGAGGACAATCCCCTAAGGAGTGGGGAGCTGAGAGAGGGATGAACAACAGAATTTATATGCATGTAGGCATGAACAGTGGACATGGACAACAATCGGGGGAAGGGGCAGGCAGGGAAGGGGGCGGGGGGAATCACTGGGGGAAAAAAGGAGAATCATTTGTAACAAAAATTAATCAATAAAAAAAAAAAAAGTTAAAAAAAACAAACAAACAGGAAGACAGCTTAAGAGAACTATGGGACAACTGGAAACGTAATAATATTCGCATCATAGGAGTCCCCGAAGAAGAAGAAAATGAGCAAGGGATAGAGAATATATTCAAAAAAATAGTGAGAGAAAACTTCCCTAATTTGGTGAAGGAAGAAG